AACTAGGCCTGTGTTGCCAAGAAAGTGCATCTCATAGCTCTAAAAACCTGATTATTAGAATTTTATTTGACATATATGGTACTACAGAAATGAGAAAATTTGATATTTGGAGAAAGTAGCAAATCATGGCACATAATTCAGTGACATATAATATCTCACATCCATAGAAAGTGGTTTTCTCCTAGAGGAAACATCAGCATTTAAATGGTTATCAGTCTGTTCTTGCTGCCCAAACTAAGTTAGCCTATGTCATCAAGCCAGAGCTGATGCACAGCCAAGTATTTGGGACAGCCATTTCTTCCTGCCCCTTAAATTGGGAAAAAAAATCTCTCTGTGGTTGAATAGCCAAGGCTAGCAAAATTCCCAGTAGTTACTTAAAATAGCACATCCTTAATTTTAAAGGGAGAGAGTGACTCACATGCAGCACAGATGTTTGCCATCACCCACCCAGGAAAATGTAAAGCCATATGCTTTAGTCCAGTTGCATTCAGCAAAGCACTTAAGCACTTATTTAACTTAAAGCATGTACTGAAGACCCTAATATTAACCTTTGTTTAAATAAGAGATCTGCTGAACAGACATGCATGCTGAATCAGACCTCCACTGTCTACTGCAAGCTAGACACAAAGCTGGAGCTAGCCGAAAGCAAAGTGCCACCACCACACTGAAAAGAAGGGAGTGGGTTGTGCAGGATTCTTCTTTAGTTACTGTTTGCTTTGCTTCCCAACTTCCAGCTGCCTCCTGATGTCAGACACCTCCATTGGGACCTGCACTGTCAGACCATCCATTGACTTCTTAATGCACACCTGGCAGCCAAGGCGAGATCTGAGAAGAAAAAAGACATTAAGTGAGTTTCATCCATTCCCACAGAAAAGGAAGAAATACCCCACCCACACTGGCAACGTCTGGTCCAGGCTGGGTTTTCCCTAGCATTCCTATTAAAGGTAAGAGACCATACCCCAGAACAAAGCAGTTCTAAAGGCACAATTATAATACGGAATAACTCCTGTTTGCTTTCAGAAAGGAGCCTTATAAGTGCTGAGAATCTATCTCAGAGGCTTTGAGTATCTAGTACAATCAGCAGGAGCACTTACGTCTCAGTGAGTCCATAGGCCAAGTCCAGCATGTCCATCTCATCGTCTGAGATGGCATCCAACTTTTGGAAGACGTCCCTCTCAAAAATGAGGTGACAGGTGGAGCAGGCTAATGTCCCTTCACATGCACCTGGAAGAGAAGTAAGGGAGTAACAACACATCAGAGAAAACAAGAAGGTGAGGGAGAGCATCTTTGGGAACAGTGGGAGAATAGCTCATCTGACAGATGTGCAGCCTGTCAGAAGAGACTCCAGAAGACACAATAGACAGATACAGACTTTAGCCTGCTTCTTCTCCACGAGGATCCCAATCATCTTTCAAATTAGTACTTCAACTCTGACCAAATAGAAGTACTGGCACAGGCCACTGGAATCCCAGCAGTGATGGAGTGGTAATCACACTGCTAGGTCAGTGTGGTAAGCCAGCTCAGCAAGGGTTTCCTGGGGAGGAGACCCTTGCCAGCAAGTAGACCAACTCAGGGCTACAAGATCAGCAAGTCAAGGAAAGCTGATTGAACAGCAAAAGTGCTGATGACCAGATCAGCAAGTGAGGTATTTGCATCCTTCGTATGCTCCATGGTCTCAGCAGAAGATAGCAGCGGGTGTACACTTGCAGTGTACCCAGGTACCTATTGGCCACTCAGCACACACACACAACCCCAAAGACTACATACCCTTGTGTAACACCTACCAAATCCATCAATGGCCAAGTTTTGATTGACAACCACTTCCAGCAAAGTCTCCCCTTCTTTAGCTGTGGCAGTGAGTTTCTCTCCATCCCGGTTTATAAAATGCACCATCACCTGGTCTGCAGAGCTGTAAGACAAGTTTCCAAAGATCAGAGGAGCCCATCCCTTCCTGCAGCCCCACTGCTGAGGTCTGCTGGCTGAGTGCCAGAACCATGGCACTTGGAGGGAAGCGTTCATACAAATCCCATTTCCTGAAGGATTACAGTGCACATGCCAGAAAGAAGATTCAGCTATCAGTTCTCAGAGGAGACAAGAAAACTAGAACTGTTCAAATCCAAACTGACCCAAAACATTTCCCTCTTTATGAAATTTGTCTTGGAATAAATGTTTGGCTGTGAGTGCAGATGCCCTGCACCCACTGTCTCTGCTTGCTCCGGCTGGAGTCAGAAGTGTTTGTAGGCAGGTGGAGCATTTGCATATCCTGGGCCTGGGGTATTAATCCTGGATGGAGTGAAACGATAACAAGTGCTGAGGATCACATATTAATCATTCAGGAAGGGTTTTTGTCATTCACATTTTTTGTGTCCTCCTTCCTTCCCAAGGGGATTAGTTGTTGGCTGTTCCTTTCCCACTCTGTTCTATCACGAGGTGTTCGTGCCTTCCCTGTCCTCAATCACTGGGAGCCTTGCTGTGATAAGAGAAACACTCAATCCTAGCTTGCGGGGCAACACCTCTGACTAAACGCTTCCAAGATTACATGAACCTTGCTCAAGAGAAATTGCTAGTTATTTTTCACAGCCTGAGGGATTTAATCTGTTAATGAGCTGCAGAGCAAGGCCATCAGCATCTCTCAGTGCTGCTTCATGGAAATCGCATCTACAGAGACGAGGATTTACAGCATCCACTTCATCTCCTCCAGATCTGGCCCTCTCCACCAACATGGACAAGGTGCCCACCATGAAGAGCATTATGTCAGGGATTTCTCTCTAAGAAAGTATATTCGGAGGCTGTTTGAGTTATTTGCTGTGGGAAGCACTAAGCAACAAAAGAGTGATCTCCCTTAGCATACATACCCAAGCCGTCTCTTAGAAGCAGCAGGTCCCAGTTACCCAAATCCCACCAGCGGTGTTGACACAGGGAAGCAGCCTGGATGTAGAGAGCATTTTGCCCAGAATGTTTCAATGTGACGCTGCCCATTTGCCCACTATCTCAAAGCCCAGGACTTTCTCCAAGTCACGGAGTCCGGGTCCATCCTTTCTTGTAAATCCAACAATGCAGACAGCTCTCCTGGTTCTCTAGAAAGAACAATCCCCATCTCTTACAGCCCCGATAAGCTCCTGAGCACTGGAAGTGTTGGTGCTGCCCTGTGGCCTTGCTGTTGTCATTTCTGGCATAAGAAGAAAGATCCACAGCCTTGAAAATAGAGCTTGTTTTGCAGTGAGAACAGACCAAGTTCACAGTCCACTCTTTTCCCGCTTGCACAAGGCTGAATGAAGCAGCATCCCACTTCTTGTGAAGAAAGCATTCTTCTGCAGGGTATAAAGTCTGTTAACACCATATTCCTGCAAGCTCCAGGGCCAGAGAAACACACAGTGAGAGCGACTCAGAGGTTCTGAGAATTTCTAATACTATCTGCTGGCTTCTTGCAAAATATTTTGAATACACTTTCTGAGTATAAACTGTCACAGCCAGAGTCACAAGTTACAGCAAACCCTCTGACCTTTCCCCACTCCGGCTGAGGAGCAGTGCCCACACGATGGTGCCTACCATTATCCACGCCAGGCACTCGCTTGGAAAGTCAGAGAGACTGGGGGGAGGATTGGCTAAACATGAATTGTCCCTGGGACAGCAAAAGCAGCTGCTAAAAGGCCTTATCCTATCTGCTCACACCTCTCTGCTATTTGGCAGATGAAAATGAAGCACGTAGCGATCTCTGCTGATTTCCTTTTAAAGTTGAGCACAAAAATATATAAGGATCAAAATTAGGCAACTTCCTTTACCCTCTCTAAACTCACGAGAGCCAATGTTGAGGTACATGGGATGTATCTGGGTGAATAGGAGACGGGGGGAAAAAAAACTCATAAAAATATGATGGAGAAAGAGGCAAAAATGTTTCCCTCTTTAAAGTTTGCCAGTGTGCTCATCCCTCCTCCCAAAAGCCGGAATCGTCATCTAGATCTGATCACATTTACCTTCTGACAAAAATCATAATTTCTGTACATCTTTAAGTGACTAAGGATGCTATTTTTTGAAGCTTTGGCACATGTATTTCACTAGCAAGCCTTCAGGAGCAGAAAATTCCAAATTATCTGTTGAAAAGCCGATCCCTATGTTCCATCTACATTTGGAAGTGGAGGAAAGATTTAAACAGTATTTTTGCCTTCTCTGTTTTTTTTTTTTTTGGCTGCAACTTGACTCAGCTAGCAGGTGCAAAACAGAGCAGCAACTGCTCCTTCAGAGGTGGTGGCCAGCTTCCTGTTTTCCAGAAAGCTTCAGTCAGAAGACAATGCCTGGACCATTATTCTTCAGCATGGTCCCCTGGTTATGAGAACAGTTGTGAAGTCTGCAGCGAGACCATGCTGCAGAGGGAGCAGTTTCCCACATGTAGCATGCAAAGAGCACACTGCAGTCGCACAGGGCCAAGCAGACTTCCCTATCTCCCAAAGCACACTCAGCCACAGAGCATCTTCCAAGACATTTCAGTTTCCCTCATGGTGAGACCCACAGACATTTCTCTGTAAACAAGCAATTTAATGTTAAGACTAGTTCTCAAATGTCAAAAGAAAAGAAAACAAAACAATCCTCTCCCTATTTTGATGGACCAGACCCATTTATTCAACTTTTATGGCAAATAGGCAGGTTTCTGGACAATGCTGGTTTTACAGTTATGAGTGAAATTATTTGTTACACAATGGGAATGGTAAAGTCATAGGACTTCAGTTAAGGCTGCAAGTCAACACATTCATCAACAGGATAATACAAGGCAGCCGCCTGCAAGCACAGGAAACAGGACCCAACAATCTCAGAGGCTGCACATGGACTTATCGGCAGAATACTGCATTTATGTTGCACCTGAGGCCTCCAGAGCATCAGCCATCATCAGGACCAGGAGGATCCCTGCACAGGGCTCCCATGGACCTTAGGAGAATGCATTCCCGCTGTTTCTTACGGACACAGCCCTGTTTCAACTGCTGCTGCAGGTGAAACGTGCCCTGAAACGTGCCGGAGGCGGCACACAGGGTACTAGGTTAGATATAAAGAAGTACAGATGCTATTGCCACAACCCCCCATATGCCTTCGGACAAGCCTGCATGCAGCACTTCACCCCTCGAGGTAGCAGACATGACAGCAAGCGCTCCAAGACCATTACGTAAAAAGCGCTGCTAAGTAGCTTCTCTCTATTTGCTGTCTGCAGGGGAAATCTAAGCTGTCTGCACGCCTACAACAGGTGCCTCTGCTGGCGGCATAAACCCAGCCTGTGTACTCCCCGTTTTCACTATTCTGGTCAGTCACCTCCCGCAGACCCGCTAGCACATGGCCTAGTCATCTGCATGCCTCCCCCCAGATCAGTCCCATGCTCACATCCTCTCTAGAGGCCACCTGCCATGGGTTCCCAAGGCTTCAGGAGCGCATGGAAAGAAAATTCGTGCCTTTTGTTTTCTATTTGTTTTTTGTTTTTATTTGAAGTTGATTTGTTCATCAGTTTTTTTGAAACTACAGAAAAATTACTTTCACATTTTGTTATAAAAAGAATATTAAACCAAGATTTTAAAAACAAAGCAAAATTAAATCTCAGCAATTTTGAGATGTTCAGGCTGAATGATTTCATAATGCATCAATGTCAGAGGACAATTACTCAGAAAGATCTTACTTAGGAAAGATCTTAATTTGGTGTGACAAGCTCAGCCCCACAAATTCAACTGCATACCAACTGATTAGACCCTTCTAAAAATCCCAACCTTTCTGTGACACAGGGAACTAGTGAAGGGGGTTTCAGGAAGGTCATTCCTCTCCCTCTCAATGTTTTTCCCTAAAAGATATCTTCCAAGGATACATGAAACAGCAAGGTGCCTAGAAGTACTGCCGGAGATAACTTCATAAGCAGCAAACCAATTAGAAAAAAATCAGTTGATAACAGCTCTTCATAAATCCCATTAAACAGGCTTATCAGTATAACTTTTCTCTAAGGTCAGATAGCAAAATGGTCTATTGTGTTTTCTGCAATGTTGGCTGGGCTCTTTTTTCTTGATGTACTATAATCTCTACTAGCAGGCTACAGCCTGACCCAGATCATGTTTGGGAGACCTACAAATTCCCTTCATTTTGCCCAGAGAAATGCAGCCTCCTTCCAAATTATGCTTAAGGAACAGATAGAGGAAAGACTGGCAGGGAGATCCATGGCGGATTTTGGTTCTACAGTTCCTGCTGCAGAAATACAAATGAAGCGTGTCTGTGTCAGTAGCCTCCCCTGTCAGCCTCGTCCTTCCCTGCAGGTATCTCAGCACCATTCTCCCTCTCTCCCACTCACTTCCACAGCATTTCTGTGCGGCTCGCTAGGGAGTATACCATCATCATGAGCAAATTCACCAGAGTCTAACCCTACCCACATCTAGAAAATCCAATAACGACTACGTAGAACTGGGCTTTTTGCTTCCAGTTGCTATTCTGTTTTCAAACGCATTTGATGCTAATGAAATCCCCTTTCATAGTCCAAGCTCCTTTGCTCCTCACTTTTATGCCACTCGTTTTATTTGATGTAGCTACTCAGCTGAGTGAAGCGCTGCCTGCTCCTTGGAGCACTTACATATGCAAAGAAGTCAGGTTGGACTCTTCACCCCCAGCCATCAGCTGCTGTGCTGAAAGTTAAGGCATGCCCTTGTGGGTCAGACCAAAGGCTCACCCTGCCCACTACCCTATCTCCATCAGAAGGCAAGAGCATGTATTCAGGGGAACCAGGTGTGAGCAGTTTCCTGCCATATCTTCCCAAGCCCCCAGCTCCTGGTGAGTTCAAAACTAGAGTCAGAGGTTGTATCCGGGTCATCACATTTTTAACAGCCACCAACGACTCTGAGGTGAGGAGGTAAGGCTTATCTTATACTTGCAAACAGTCCAAAGACTTACAGCAGAATATAACAGTGAAAATGTCTGAAGGCTAAGGGAGAAACTCAGGAAATCATAGGAGCCATCTATGGTAGCAGAGGAGGCTTTTTAAAAGCTGAACAGATAACCCAATGCTGAAGGATAGCTAAAGGCAGTGGATATGAAGTCAGCCCTTAAGCTGAGCTCATATACAGACCACAGGCTTAGTTTGACATGCTTTAGTGTCTCAGCTTACTCAGATACATGGGGGTCAGGCTCACCACAGAGGGGCATGGGACAATATCAGCTAACCAGGGGCCTCTGCTGTGCACCCAGCTTCAGCCCTGCCGAGCAGGCCACAGCCAGCGTTAGTGCTCGTGCAGTTTGACTCTCTAGGCCTCCTGGGTGAAGCTCTGCCCAGTCGCAGGACAGGCTCAGGAAAATAAAATGAAGGAATACCTAAAGGGTATATTCATAGCTTTTCAAAACCTACCATACTGTCAAGGACACAGTTTAATGAGGTGCAGGAACAGAAACTTGTAGGTCATGCAGCATGACCTATTCTTTCCCACAACAGCATCCTCATAGGCCCTTTTACATGACCACCTGGGAGTCCTCCACCCTGGCAGGGACCAAATGCACTTACAGGGGTTTCTAAACCTGAGTTTCTGGCCAATTTCCACAACAGAGTCCAACCACCACAGCAAACTGTGCATCCCATCCCCAGCTAGCAGTCTCAGCAAAGCCCAGCACAGGTCACAGGACTCAGGAGCCAGGTGGGACACAGTTACTGTGGGCTCTGCAGCCCCCAGCGCCCACCTCCCAGAGGATGCAGCCTCTACCCCCAAGGCAGAGGACCGGAGCCACCTTCTCCCTCTCCCTGGTAGGAAGAGCATGCTAGCAGGGAGAGGGAGCTTGCAGTATGGCTTCTTCTGAGTTAAAGAGGGGATTTTGCTCCCTGGGGCTGCTGTCAACATCAGCTCACTGCTCTGCCTCCACAGCAGTGGGGACACGACACCTGGAAAACTCTGCACTGTTCCCAGAGCGGCCCGATGGTCATCCCAGCTGACGCCTTCCCCACGGCAGGAATACAGCAGATGGTCAGCCCAGCTGACTGGCAGGCCTTGCCAACCATCTCATCCCTTGCAGGCCAGTAAACGGGACCCTCCAGTGCATGGACTCGTGTGCCACGTAGTCACCTTCATGCTCCCCTACCCATGGCCTCTTTGCTCCAGGAGCCAGGGAGCAGCCCCTGACAGGCCAGCTCCCAGCACCTTCCTCCTCTCAGCTGGCAGCTGCTGATCCTGCTCTGCCTCATTCACCGTCTCCTGCCCACCCATGTCCTGCACCTGCCCCTCTCTTCCCCCTTCCAAAGAGCAAGGCAGAGGTAGATGATGGTCCTTCTCGAAAGGGCCCTTCCAGATGTGGTGAGGCAGAGTTCAGCTTTTTACTCACCTCGATTCCCCAGGGCCATCCTGGAGCTTTTTTGTGGAGCTGAAGCCTCTTTCTGACTGCAGCTTAGGCAGCATGTGATTCTGCTCAGCCACCCTGCTGTGATAAATAAAGCGAGTTTTGCTCACATTCAGTCCATTTAGCAAGGGTCGCATGAGCCCTGAGATGCCCTGAGCTATCATGCTAGCTAAGCCTTGCTTCGTGCCTCCTGGGTTGTCTTTGCAAGGCCGGCCAGAGTCAGAGTTATAAGTACAACTGAGGAAAAAAAATCTAGGACAGCCTCCCAGGGGGCGGGGGGAGAGAGGGAAGGATGGAGGGAGGGATTGTGCTGGATCTCACTGCAGTCCAGCCCACGGTGGTTGTACTGGGCCACAGGAGTTGGGTGAAGCATGTTAGCAAGCATCATCTCCACAAACTTGTCAGCAGTAAGACTCAGCTCATTTTTTCCTTATACATTTCCCTTCTAGAAACGAGTCTAAGTTAGACCTAAAGCCAATTCCAGGAGCAACATTCATGGCGATGTGTAACTCTACTGGGCTGCAAAGTTTGCGATGGGCGAGCAGGAGCGGTGAGCGCCTGGATGCTGCTGCCTCGGGACGGGGTGCCAGCGCTGCTGCGCGGCGAGAGCGGGACCCCGGGGTTTGCTCTTGACGCAGAGGCTGTCCAGCCCTGCCTTGTGCGCCCCAATGCTACAGGTTCCCAGCTGCAAAATGGAAACATTGCTTACTTTGCAGGATGGTGGAGACAACAAGCCAGTTGGTTTATTTGTTAAATTATCTGCTGAAAAGTGCAATAGAGGCATAAATAAGTATAATTCATTTCATGTTAATTGATATTCAGTGTTAATGAGACTTCTGGAGAAGAAAACGCCTTAGTTTATTCCCAAAAGCAGTGTCACTAATTTAGTCTACCCTCCTCTCCAGAGCAAATCAATTTGCTCCGGATCCAGGAGGCTCTACTGCTACAGCAGAGGATATAGTTTAAGTCCCTGTTTTGCTGTGAAGTTTGAGAATAGCATTCATCTCAGGAGTCCGAATTATCCCCCAAATACCAAATTAATGGTTTATTGTTTAATAGGATGCTTGTTTTAATCAATTTTTTGATGCTTAGAGATGGCAAGAAAGCTGCCTTCTGCCAAGAAGCAGTTGCGGCCCATCCCTGGGAGCAGCAGGGCGGGGGCTGATATCAGTAGCCAGTATATGCAATAACCTTTGGAGCTGGACTCTTCAATCAGCCCCTACAAGGGAGAGCAATTGCAGCACAAGAATGAGATCTTGCTGGAAAATGTTCCTCTCTCCACACACACACACTCCCTCTAAACTCATAGTTTTGCAGATATCTGGGAATTTTTGACTTTTCCCTCTGAAAATAAAAATTTTCTATGCAAAGCTTTCAGGATGGGAGAGTATTTTCCATAAAAGGGGGGTAAGAGTTGAGAATCCCAGTTTTCTGTCCAAGAAAGTTTCAAAGGGAAACGTTCAACTTTTCAAACGCACCACCAAAACGGTGAAGTGAAGAGGAAAATCACAGAATCTAACATGAAGGATTTAAAAAAAAAAATTTTCTTGAGGGGAAACCTACCCAGTGTTTACAACCACCTGTTTACTTCTCTCTGTGCCTGTTGCATCTGAGAGAGCAGCACTGACAGAGGAATATTTTATTCCTCCTTGCCCCTGTTTTGCTGAGGCAGGCTCAGCAGGACCATCCTGACACAAGGAGGCATGCAAGAGGAACATGCAGTGCTCTGCTACAGAAGGATATGAGCTGAGATAACGTGGAGCACCACAGAAAAGCGAAGAGCAGCAAAAAGCTATCCTCAGCTCCACAGCTGGATTTGCAGGGCATCACCAGCCAGACTCTCCTTGCACCTTTTGCCAGTTGTGGGTGGTGCTTCCCAGCTGGATATGTGATGGGCACAGCAGCTAGTAACCTCAGCCTTGCAGCCACCATGGCTTGCACCAGCCCCACTCCCCCATGCATGCATTTTATTCTGCTGCAGGACTCACCCCACCGGCTCCTTCCAGACCAGCAGGTCTGTGAGTTCAGGGAGCACGAGATGAACCTCTGAGTATCACTAGGGTTTTAATGTGGGGTGAATGCTAACTCTGAGCCTACTGATGGCTAGAAAGCTGCCTTCTGCCAGGAAGCAATTGCAGCACATCCCTGGGAGCAGGGGGGCAGGGGGACGATGTCAAAGCAAGGAGGCCACACAGCAGGCATGGGTGAACATCAGACTGAGCAGCCCAGGGTCACTAGGATTTCACAGAAATTCAATCCATCAGCCCCAATCAATGTAAAAACGTCTCTGTTCAGATCATTTGTAGAGCAGCGTTTGAAACTCCCCTCGTCCCCTGCTTGCAGGCAGAGGAGAGGTGGCAGCGAGGCAAGCGGCTGGTTTCATCTGAAGGCAGCTCCAGGCAATGTCCCTGCTCTGTGGTCCCTCACTCTCAGACTAGCTTTCGCAGGCGGTTTGCTCTCCTCTACAGGCTGCCCTCAATATTTTGGCCTCAAACCCAAACTCTTGGGCCTCAGCTCATCCCTGAATTTAAAATAGCTCTGGGCAGCCTCTGCCACTGAGAGATTCTGCCCAGTCCTCCCTCAGCTTTCCAGGCACCATCGAGGGAAGATGTAGGTGGCCCGATTCTGTCTCCCAGGCATTCATTCAAAAGGAAAGCCAGGCTTGCAATGAGAGGTGCAAGGAAAGGGGCCAGAGCACATCCAAACAAACTACCAACTGTCTTATCTCTCCAGCAAACCTTGAATTGAGAGATATGCCTGATATATGCACAGCAGTTCTCACGGCAAGGACGTGCGTGTGTTTGCCTGGCACTGACCCCTCTCCCTGCCAGGAACTCGGAGCACAGCAAGTGACAGGTCAATGCCACCAGATGGGAGAGGGGCCAACACCGCAAGGAACGTGGGGTCCAAGATCATCACACCCAATCCCAAGGGGAGTCAGGAGTGCGTAGGGGGTGACTGTCCCTTGGCTAAACCAGGAGCAGTTCTCCTGGAGCAGGGAGCGAACAGGGCTTCACACTAGGTGCTGAGAGCCTGTTTTAAGGTCTTTAAAACAGAGGGCAAAGGAAAAAAGCAAGACCTCTTTCTCCCTGCTTTCCCCCTACCTAGCAGCCAGCCTAGAAGTAAAATGCAGCCTTTCCCAGGCAAGCCCTTGTTCATTTTGCCCAGGACAAAAATTGAAAGCCGTGCAAACCCTCCCACCCTCAATAAACCGAAAAAAACCCTTAAAGCAAACAAACAAAAAACCTTGTGCTTTGACAAAGCCCCTCAAAGCGTTGCTGTGGCAGTCAGCACACACTTCAAGGGAAAGCAGGTACAGCAGAAGTGAATCCTAAGCTTTGCTTCACAGAAGTTTCTCAGGAGCCAGATGTTCACCAGCACATGCACACCTGCTTGCTCACCAGCAGGTCATGTTCTGCCCCTGATGCAATGGCTGCGCCTATGGACCCGACGACATCTCAGCGCACACTAGAAGGAAGTGGTTTTCTAGCCTGAAATACATTGCCCAATCTCTCACGCACTACAGAGGACAATCTCCCCCTCCTCACTCAGCCTAGGGACTCTCAGCCAAATGTCCACAACAGGCTGCAAAGTGCTATTAACTCCACCCTGACCCTGATATCTGTATAAGAAGCAATCAGACTCTGATCCAACAAGAAATTACTCAACAGCATTGCAGCCTCCAGAGCCAGAGCCGGAAGCACACTCAGACTTCCTGGATACCAGACTCAGCTCCTCTGGCCACCATTCGCATTTCAGTCCTTCTATGGGCATGTTCAGCAAACACGTAGGCATAATCAGCACACGACAGCCTTGCTGGCGTCTGGTTCCTTCAGACACAAGATGCTCTCTGCAAACAGCTCTAGCCAGAAGAGCTCTTCTGCTAACCTTGCAGCTTCCAAGACACCTTGGAGAGAAGGTTTAAAATTACTATATTAGCCTACTGCCTCCCTGAAAGCATATGAAAATCCTAGCTTAATCATGTAGTTATTAATATATGCATTAATACAGTTTTAGTGATGCTGTGCTTCTGGGTTTGTGAGAGTAACTCCACTACTGTTTGAATCAGCGTTTGATAAAACCCCAGATGTTTAATAGTGCAACTCCCAAAGGAAAAACATCCAGAGGAGAGTGAGGGGAACTGAGCAAGCAGCTCCTTAGTATCAGTTGTGACAAAGCTGAAGGTTAGCTCCATCTTCCAGCACGGAAGCGGATCCATCATTAGCTGGAGCAAGCAGGGCTGATCCACGCTCTCCTCCAGGTTAGCGCAACAGCAGGTGCTCTGGGCACCAGAGGGCAGAGAGAGGGAGAAAGGATTCCTGGTTGGCCTCCAAGGATGAGGGGAGATGGATCAAACACATACCTAAGACAAAGATGTGCTCATTAGAACTAGGCAGAGCTGCACAAGCTTCGCCACTGCCAAGAGGTAGCCAAAGACAAGCCTGTGCTGTTGCCGAGGATGAAGTCTCAGGAGCTTTAAAAAGAGCAGCAGACATGCAGAGCCAGGCATAACCAAGGATACCAGAGTCTAGCCTTCATTCTTAAATAGCAAAAATGGCCTTTCCTGACCTCCTCCCAAGCCCATCTCCTCACCCAGCACAAATATCCCTATAACTAGATAGAAGCTGCTTACATACATAACATTAAAGTCACTGAACAAAATTCCCATTCCCATCATCCCCATGAAGACCCGTTAATCACCCTTTCCTGCTCCAGAACAAGTTGCTAAGACAAGCAGATAGGACAACCTGTGCTCCAGAAAGCTGGGCTAACATAGCCCAGCCCACCAGTTACTGCTCTCTCCCGTCCACTGGGGCAGGTACAGAGGCGTGCTGAGCCTGAGCCTCCAGACAAGGTGTGCACATCGAACATGCTCAAGTCTCAGATGCTGACTGGTCTCAGCTGGAGGGCTGGGGACAAAGTTTTGAACATTGTGCCTCAATTTCTACATCTGTCAAACAGGACTACCATTTGCTTGCTCTGACCCTTCGCTAAGTGTCTCCTAAGAGGCTAAATACAAAAGGGCTAAATTTTCAGCTCTAAAAGCAAGAGGGCAGTAAAGCCATCATTACAGATGAGCTAACCTTGCAGCAAGGAAACAAATGAATTCGTAACAGGGCTTCTGCCAGCAGCTACCCCAGCACCTGGTGATGTAGCTGCTGCCTAGATGGGTGAAGGCCACCATGAAGTTACAGTGCCCTTGCCACGTCCTTCACTCACAGCTGCAGATGCTTCTCCTTCAGTCAGTCAAGGATGTGTTGAAGATGGATGGGAGGGCATTACTGCTGCATGTGCGGTAAGATAGCCTTCACTGCAGCCTCCCAGCTCAAAACTGGGATATTCCACATCCCCTTGACCCTCCCTCAGTCTTGATAGAAGAGCAACCCTGGCTTGTGTTTCTTTAAAAAAAATCACAATTGGAGGCAATAGATTTGTAACTTTCCAGCAAGCTCTGCTCACCAGAAAGCTGGACTGATGGCATTAAGACCTACTCAGAGGAAGTGCATTTTAGTCCCCTCCAGAAGCTTTCAATGTTTTTTTTTTTTTTTTCCCAGTCTCACCACTATTCTTTCCTTGACACCTCCATCTCATTCTTTCCTCGTCTTTTCCGCTTTTCATCCTGCCTTCTGTCCTGACAGTTCCTTTTAAAATTACTAGACCTTAACCCATCACTTGGCATTAGATGTTCATTTAGGCATTATCCTGTACTAGGGACTTGCATCATTGTCCACAACGTGCATTTAAATGAGAGCTGCAGATACCTGCAAGACAAAAGCCAGACTCTCCCTAATACTAGATGCACTGAGGCTGAGATTCTTTCTCTTACAAACAAGCTGATTTTCCTGCAAGGGAAAAGACATCAACAGATTACACACGGAGTCAATTTGCACAAAAGCACACAGCAGTTCTAGGCTGACGTCTGTCACAGATGACTTTCACTGTCCTCTGCCAATTAAGCACTCTGGTTATACACTGGCATAAGGTGTTCAGACTATGTGCACAAGGATGAAATTATGCGCAGCTGAGAAGGCAGCACTCAACAGAATAGCAACACTGATTGTTCAGGGCAAACAAGCTACACCTTAGTAATTCTGGAGATATTCTGCCTTTGCAGATGTTTGAGCAGCTGCCATGCAACAATCTGTGATCAACATACCTTACCCCGTATACTGCATTATCCAGCTTTGCAAGCTGTTTGAAAACAACTATTAGATGCAGAGACAGCTACTTAATGATGGAGAGCCACTGCAGTATGAGACACTGGAGACTGAACTCAGCCTCCCACTCTGAAGCCAGATAACAGGTACAAATAACAGCTCTCAGTACTAGCTAACAGCAGAAATGGGGAAACAAAGCTTGTTTTGCATCTCAGACTTCTCTGCCATCTCCACAGCCCAAAATAGACTTCAAGAGGATAGTGTCGTCAAAAGTTAAAGGGTCCTATGCTTACAAGATGAGAGCAAAATTTAACCTAAATTACTTTTCTAAGTCGCCGTTGCTATTGACAGTATCCTACACTAGTTGACCTGAACTGATAAGCTTGGCATCGGTGGGTGTTTACATCCTATTATTGTTCAGCACAGAAAAAGGAAGCAGCCAAAAGACTAGATCCGGCTTACCCGTTCATGGGGGATCTAACACCAGGTCAAAATGCCTGTGCAAAAAAATGTCTGTGCTTCCCTCCTGGTGCATGAGTCTGAGGAAGTGAGCAATAAGGTTGTCATCCAGCTAGAGCAGCACCTACGGCACGTCATAAAACAAATCTAAACTGGGAGAGCAACCTCTTGTAATTCCCAGTCTTGGAAAGTAAAAACAAGAGAAGGAAAAAGCAATCAAGAGAGGAGACAGTCTTACTTCTAATAGCTGCACTGCACTCTGAGCAAGGGGATTAAATACCCTGTGCCAAAACCATCAATCCATCAGGCAGATTTATCTCAAGGAAACGTAACTCTACAGAGTTACTTCGGTTCATCTTTACATTAGAGGTTTTAGTAAGTGGCACTGCCTAATAAAGGCACGTTTCAGACCCTAGCGAAGGGCAGTGTCTCAGGTCCTCAGCTCTCGTAAGTGCCTTTCGTCCACCAGTCTGCCCCTGTCCTCCAGAAAAAAGAATCTTGGCCCCCCAGCACTTGCAGGTGTAGCCTAGATTACACTTGAAGTGTACCACAGACAGAACAGCAAATCCAGCTGAAGCTATCCACACAAAATATGAGTTAAACACAAACTTTTAATTCCCAAACAACAAAATACCTTCCAATACATAAGAGGAATCAGGGTTTGTTTTTTACCGCACAGAAGCGGCCTTCAGCGATTAATATTTTGCACTGCCATTCCTTCAAAGACAAATTGAAAATAGCTCTATCTAACTATGCTCGGAGAATTACTGAGCATCTTCAGTCTTCACAAACGTAAGCAAGAGAGTGCAATGAAACCTAGGACACTCATGCAGAACAGTAATCTGGCTGCAGGCACAGTCATCAGACACTCAGAAATGTAAGCACAAGCTGGAAGACATTGTCCACCTGGAAGTAACCACAGAGTACCATTTGCAAGAGCAACCAGTTCAGACCAACCTTCACTTGAAGATGACAGCATAGCAAAACTGAGGTGCACATGTAGTTCGTCTAGTGGTCTCCAGGTTTTGGGGATCCTAGAAAGCGAGTCTTCCTCATTCCTTCCTACAGAAATTGAAGCCATTCCAAGCCTGACAGGAATTGCAAATCCTCCCTTGCTCCACACTTCAGAGACAAGGTAAATCTAATGTAATTAGATATTTAAATACCTAAAGAAACATGTAACATCTGAAACATGAACATTTACATGTTTCTAAAGAAACACGAACTTGTTTATAAACATTTACAGACATTTACAAGTTTCTCCCACAGCAGCAGATTTCTAAGCCCTGGTGGGTTTTGATGAAAACTCTTTATTTCAGTTGAGCAAGCATGAGGCAGAGGTTGTGTAACAAGCCCCTCTTCGCAGCCACATGGAAAGCAAATAGGAATGAAGGTCACAATCCATTAATCCTCGTCTTTGGGGGTGGAAAGGTGAGAGCAGGCATGCTCTTCCTTCATAAGACTCAGTCCCAAGACCTCAGGAAAGGCAGCTACAGAGACAGCCAGGGCAAAGCAGCTGCTGTTGAAATCCCAGGGCACGGCTGGACCAGGGGAGACCCGTCCACGGGTCTCAGGCAGGTGCCGCGGCCTGGTCACCCTCTCCATCACCAGCCAGGTGCTGCTGGGCACCCGGGGAGCTCGCTGGCAATGGATTCCCAGAGCCGGGTCTCCTCCCTCAGCCTCCCCCAAGCCCTGCCGAGCAGCGGCTAGCGAGTTAAATCCAACAGAAATTCACGTTCCGCTTCTCCGCATGGAAATCTGAATTCCAGTGTTAGCTCTGCTCCAACACCTTGAGGGCCCCCCACCAAGCGAGGACAGTGGGTGTCATTCAAGCAGCCATTTGCCTTCTTCAAAAGTAAGCAAAACCTCCTGGTTTGTGAGAAGACTGACCTCTAAGATACCACATGGCAGACATGTTTAATTTGCAGACACAGAGCTAGGCTCAGAGAAAGCCTTAAGCAACCATCCAGACACTTTTTCTGTTGAATTTCTCTAAACTTTATTGGCACTGTAGGAAGAACAAGGTATGGATTTTAACAACTCCTCCAAACAGAAAAAAAATACCTAACAGAGGCTCTTTGCAGATTATCAGATGGACCCATGAAATACCCCACAACCCTAAGGAACTCACGCTTTAATAAAAAGTGGGAAAACAAAACAAAATAAAAAACCCCACTCAACATAATTTACAGCAATCAAAAAAAAGGAGGGGGAAAAAAAGAAAAAGAAAGAACAAGCCAGGTAAACATTTGATAAGATAATTCCCTCCCCCCACCCCCAAGAGGAGTATTTATCCAATTAATCTGGAACAGGGAGAGGAAGAAAAACTCACTGTATTCTAACAAATAAAAAAACGTGTCTAGAAATCTCACTGTAATACTGAAAGCTTCTTACATTAGTTTTCTTGCAAAATATCATCTCTTTACAATACAGTATACATTTCCAAGGGATGGGGAACCATAAAAGCATCCTCCAACCCATGACTAATATTTTCTAATTGTGCATAGCTAGAAATATTGAAATCAAATATCATTAGATACCACTGTAATATAATACTGGTTAAGAGGGTAGGGCTGAAACAACTACACAAGGAGCTAGGTGGACTCACTGGCACAAGCCGTTCTATTCCCATTTTGGACCATTTGGAATTAGAACGATTTAAAAAAAAAAAAAAACACTATAAACAGAAGTCACGCCAGCATTGTAATACAAGAGTTCAGCAGTATTATGTGACCCATCAAAGCAGAAAGAGGTTTACTGGTTTATTATTTGAACACATATTCCAGGCACCGCATATCTTCTCATTAAGAAATTGTTAAAATGCAATAAGGGCTTTTTTTTCCCTCCAGATGCACCAGTAGTTGCCATGGACAGAGCAGAAGTGCTGAGAACCAGCTTTAAAGCACCAGAACAGAAGTGTAATGGTTGTTTGTTCCCCAATAATGAGACTCATGTAGAGCCAGTGCCAAAAACTCCTCAGCAAAGAAATATGCAAATCACTTCTGACAAGTTTAACTACAATCTTTCATTGGTGACACTGAAAGCACTGGGGCATGTGTTTTTGGCCAGCCAAAGGCTTCCCGTGTCCACTCGCCAAAGACACGCTGCATCCAAGGCAGAGAAGGGGGCTCCCATGTGACTTCACTGGACATGTAGAAGGAGCACGAAGCGATGCTCCTAGCAGAGGTTTGGTTGGTTAGCATCATGTGGATCTCCACACAGACTTGTACTGCTTCCAAAAAAATACAGCACTGGTTGTTGCTAGCAGCCCAAGGAGTTCTTGGGGAAATACTGCTGTTTATTAACACTGACATGAACATTTATTTTTGGCACACTCCCCGTTACCTTTTTCCCACAGAGTAGGGAGCTGAAAGTGCTCTAACATACTCAGATGTTTTCCTTCTATCGGCGCTAACAGTGATACCGTAGAGACAAGAGAGGCATCCACAAAACTGAGAAAGTTGTAAGATTTAGGATCATGCTAGGCAAGAAATTAAATTATGGGCTAGCCTAATGACTTCGCATAGGGACAGGCTAATCCAAGGAGGGCAAAGCAAAGGAGAACTCCATTTTAGATGGAATCCATTTTTAAGAGGCCCCTTCTAAAGTTGAAGACTTTAGACAAAATCCAATTCAACCCTGAGCATACATGGCTGTTCCTTCCCCAGAAATGGAGGAGAGGATTGTGGGTAGCTACAGCACAGACAGGAGCTTGGAAGACAGGATGTCAAGGGCACTGGTAACTGTTACAATCAGCTCTCAGGATAAGTCTCCTTACAACCTACTAGGGTCCATTTCTAACAGACAAGAGCCCTCTGTTTTCAAGGCTGCAAAGGGGCAAAACGCATCCTTCTGGGGAAGGAAAAACATCTGAGCCAGGGACATGCTCAGATGGTAATGCTAGCTAGCGAGGATTAAGGCAGCAACTGGACAAATGCTTCATGATCCTCTCCCCTCGGATGCTGCTGGAAGCTAGGTAGACAGATTCAAACTTGTACATGAGCCAGATACAAAAGTAATTTCTGGTCCCCAGCTGCTCATCACTTTTTATGATTATATCTAGTTTAAGCAAAGACATCTGAGCTACAGTAGATCTATAGACAGTCATAAGGCACCAATGACTATGTGTTAAAAAGGCCTCTTCTGGACACCTGAAATGCCATTCACACAACCAGGAGTACTCTGTTTTACAGCCAGGGAAAAATAGCTACAACAAGTTTTAGTTCTTTGCGTTTCTGCCTGTCCCTCTAGGTTTCCATTGGTGACCCCAAAAATGCAAGGCAACGTTCTTTAGCTATTTCTGCTTCACTGGTTACATTCAAATCAGACAAGTGACAGTGAACAAAGCAATTTACCCAGAGGAAAACACTTCTGGAAGACAGGGAAGTTGATGCACCAAAACACACTTCAGCAGTGGAAATATTACAAAGGCCTCCACATGATTAGGAAATTCAAAATTTCATCATTAAAAAAGAAAAGCTAACACCAGCAGGATCATACAAGATGTTATTAACACCACTGATTATCTATTTCGCCTGCTTAAGTTTTAAGGTCAAAAGCTTTGGTCTTAGAAAAAAAGTCTGTATTATACCATCAACCCTTATTAACCCTACCTCCAGGCTCCCCTTCTCAACTACACGAGGCAGACCCTCATGTAGAGAGGGTAAAGTCAGATATTTAGACCCTGGCCACTAAGCTTAATACTGAAGTTTGTGCAAATTAGTAGGAAGGCACAGTGTCAAACTGTAGCAGTTTAAGTAATTCAGTCAAAGTATCTGGTGGCCTCTTTACCCAGTGGAAGAGAACAGCAGTACAGCTGTTTCAATAAGCAATACAAAACTAAATGCAGTGAGACTTTACCCAAAGCCAAGCAATTTCAAATTTGGACCAATACAAGTTTGCTTTCCCCAGCCACCCCCAGGAAGATGTAGATGCTGGTTTTTCCTCTGTTGCTAAACTGCAGCACTTGCCCAAAACTCTATAAATAAGACCATGGTCACTCTTCTGTAGTGGTTCCAGCGCAGCACGATTACGAGTGAGTGATGGGAGAGGATGGGAAAGAGGGGAGAAGAGTGCAGGGCAGCAGGTGCAGGGGAGAGTTTACATGGACTCAAACTCATCAATGCGCTGCTTGGTATTGCCCTGCCGAATCTGACGGAGGGTCTTATACTTGTCTCGGCCCAGCCGCATGTTCTCAGCATGGATCATGTCGTTGGCTGTCTTCTTGGTTTCATCCCGAGCGTTCGCCAGCTCCGAGGAAAGAGCCTTTGGAAGAGGGGAAACAGATGGGAAGGGGTTAGCACATGCCATACTCTCAGGAAGAGACGCCCTCGTCCAGCTCTCCTAAACATTCAATGCCCATGGAGACAGGAAGCTTTATTTACATAAGTTGATATCTTTCC